ATGAAAACTAATATTTCAAAACCACAATATAAGTAATATCTTATATGTTTTATACATTTTTAAGTCTAATATATATAATAAATTGTTACGTTAAAAAACTAAATACCGAAACCTTCCTACTCCTGCTGCTATTATATTCTGTAAAGTGATATTCGAATAAAGCTATAATCAATGATACCATCTTTTTGGGAACTGTTTACATTTTGAGTGGTGTCCTAAACGAATATTGTTTTTGTTTGTTTTGTTCTTGTTCTTCCATTTCACTCATAGCATGTCGTTTATTCAAATATTAAAATTTCAGGTAAATTACTTCGTACATAATCGTCACTTTGGCATGAATATAGGAAGGTAGGTTTTCGGACCCTAAAAGCAGTGTCAAGTGAATAAACAGACAGATATGTATCACTTTTGTGGTTTGCGACATATTATGCGTTTTCTACCTTCTTATTTTAATGTATAAATTTTCAAAACTTTTGTTTATTCTGAGTCTAGGCAGTTTTCGTATAACACGTGGACCAGATAATCATTAAGCTGATTTCGTTCTGCATGCTTTTGGTCCTGTCTACTTAAAGTATCTCCTTTTCAAACTGATATTCAAATAACAATGCTTTTATATAATGGAGTAGCTTTAATCAACAATCATGAAATGTTTTTCCTGGTATCATTGCATACTGAAATTGAATTAGTCAGATACGTTCATACTATGAAAATCCCAACACTGGTGAAAAACACATTGGAGTAAGTTTATACAAAGTGTTGAATTTTTAGTCATTACTTGGCAGGTACGCTATCTCCTTTTGGAGGTCGTGGAATGATAATCCTACATTGGTTAGGTTTTGAAAGCTGGAGTCACAACAGTAAGGTTCTCTGGTAAGTTATTGATAATAAAGATAACAATTAATTATTAAAAACACCGAATTATTTAGTTTGTAGCTATATGGGGCGACTGTGAAGATATCTGGTAATAAAGTAAATGATAACATTTTAAAGGCTGACTGAATCTGCCCCATCATCCAAATAGATTAAGTTATTCACGAACAATGACCATATCTCAAATTAAACATTTGGATGTTTATCTAATGTGGAGAGTCACTTGACCAATGGAAGCCAGCCAATCATAGCGCGCTGTTGCAAATATGATCTAACTCTCCCAAACTGTCACTGACACAATGTGTAAATTCTTGAATATCAATTGTATGGTTGTTCAGGCCCTTGGACAATTCAGAATATCATTCTTGGCATAAGAAAAAATCACCGTTTATTAATTATTATTCGCTGCAATCATTCAGTACAGGCTTCAGGATTGAACGAGGTGTTTGCAGCTGGATTCTCTGTTTATAGATGATTAGAAACTCCATAACACTAACCTGTATGTTAGGCACCCAATAAGATTCATTCTGCTCATGGCAATACACAAATCTTTTCACCTGCAATGGTGCCTAAAAGCACCCAGTGGTTCAACAGCTTGTATGGTAATATTCTGTTTACGGATGAACCTCTCTTCATGATACAGCCAAATAACAAGCTCCTATTTATTAGAAGAGACTCTAGAAGTAGGCACAACCCAAGCTGGTTATCTCAGTAAATATTGTAGAAGTGGAAGTGTGGTTTGAGCAGGAATAAGCATTGAGACTTGCCAGCCTATACATGTTGCGTAAAAGTACCACTAATGACACAAGTGATCGAAAACTCATCCTATGACCCTTTGCACCACACTATGGTGATGCAATTGGCTTTGAATTCAACCTAATTGTTAATACCACCTACCTTAGCATGTTAAGTTGACTCGCTCTCCTTGAAGAAGAAAAACTGGCTGAGTGAAAAGCCTTTTAATCCCAGTAACCGTGTACGAAAGTTATTGAGAAGTGTGTCACTTTTTGTCAAGTTATTTCAGAAAAAAAGACGTCCTGAAAAAACTTTTCAGGGCCTTACCAATAATATTATTTTAAGAAAACAACATTAGTACCAGGCTGTCCTTTGCTGGTCATGATCTCTATTGAAGTGAAATGTCATAAAATGTTACGAAGTAAAGCCACATTTACTAACTGTTCATTTACCCTTCATAGGCTAAACGACCAATCATTTGCATTTCAGATCATATGGCAGATCATCAGTTACCTAATTTGTATAAAATGAGCTATTGAGACGATTGATATTATTTTGTAGCAGTGGTTTTGTCACTGTATTTGCAGTCTTCAAACGGACATAATATAACACAAATGTTATCAGGAATGATGCAAACGTCGTCAGAAACTACAAAAAAAAAAAAATCTTTAAAGCTACTTCAATACTCTTGGCTACACCAACATCACTATTTCTAAAAACATAACTAATCTGCACACATAAATATTGGGATTTAGATTATATGGTATTAAAACTTTTCAGCTCTTTCTGATGGTTATTCGCTTTAAGCTTTACCCATTTTCAAAAAGGGGATCCAGTCAAAGTTCTCAATGCCCCTATGGGCGGGGGAATAAATGTGGTTCAACCAATAAATCCACAGTTGAACAAACAAACAGCATAAAAACATGAAATAAGCGTCAAACTTATCAAAATCTGGTTTTAAAAACTTAGTATAAGCCAGAAAAGTAATAATAACAATAATCTATGTAATGTTTATAGTTGTGACATCAACAGACACAACAGAAACTAAAGTATGAATAAACATCAAGTTTTTGTTTACTAATTTAACGGGATTAGCATTATATCATGTTAAAATATCTGTGTTGGATAAAACATTGTTAATATAGGGTAATGTTTCACGTAATATTGACCAATGAGGTTCCTACTTCCTCTGTAGTTTATCTTTTTAAGCTCCATCTAGATGAATCTTAGAGTTCAAGAGTTTGGAACAGAGGTGAATGGAATATTATCTCTAAGCCTTCATTTCCCCGTGGCAGCATTTATTATCACGCAGGAGCTGACGTGATTACGTATAAAGACCTACAAGTTGTTCTGTCACATAAATTATTTTTCCTTGTGTTTTGTGTTTGTAATATTATCTGAAAAATTTTCTATCGAAAATGCAGAATCATTTGTGAAAGCTAAATTTCGTCCGTGTGCTTTGTTTCTCTACGTTCAGTTAACAAATACCGTCTGTTTTTATGGGCGTTCTCAAAAGTCTTCTCCATTATTTATTAACATATTTAAACCATCCTGTGCAGTGTACTACATGTGCAAGACAACACTTGTACTTGTGAGGCATTTTATACGGCGATGTGTGATTTGTGTCCGCTCGAAAAATAATGTAAGGAGGGATGACCTCTTTTCAGTGACTGATTTGTAGGAAGATGAAACATAGGAATTTTATCATTCGATTTGTCATACCTCTTTATCTATGTATTCTGTGTTAGAGACAGCCCTAGCTTCATGTTACATCAACAAAACTTGAGTCTCCGTCCAAGTTGCGCATTCTTCAGTTGAAACGCTGGTAGAAAACTCAGGGTCATATTACTAACGGCATTGGATAGGAGGTCAACGAGGAATGTAAACACTTTCAGCTCAAAGGAGATTGTAGCAAAAACAGACATTTTGAAAAATGACGTGGTCTCATCGTGCTTTCAAAGTCTCCCGAGCATTCCCCATTCCTCTATCATTAAATAACAATATCTATATTGAATATGTAGTATTGAATGTTTCCAAGTCGTTATCATGCATTTGAAATTAGTTTTGTGTAAAATCTCCCTTAAGTGATATTTTATTTTGATATCTTGGCCATTAATTTGTCCAACTCACTCATTCTGCTGCGACTATTCTAAGAAAAGTTAAACAAAACCACATATTGAGAAAAGTTAATTAAAACCACATACTGAGAAAAGTTAATTAAAACCACATATTGAGAAAAGTTAATTAAAACCACATATTGAGAAAAGTTAATTAAAACCACATACTGAGAAAAGTTAATTAAAACCACATATTGAGAAAAGTTAATTAAAACCACATATTGAGAAAAGTTAATTAAAACCACGTATTGAGAAAAGGTGAACAAAATCACGTATTATGAAAGTTAATTAAAACTACAAACTAATTACACAAACTGTTTTATTTTCGAACAGAGGTGCAACTGACATAGCAACACACGTGTACTTGGGATTTTAGTGTAAGTTATTTTTGTACAAGCACACAAGTCTCTGTTTCCTAACACCTTACAGTGACCTCTGTCAATATCAGATTACAAGCCATATCAATTCCGTTTTCCCGTACTTGCCGCCAAGTGCCTAACGTGCCTGGCAATGGCCGCTCCCCTACTGATCTTGCATTCCTAGGCAAATTTGCGCCTCAGCTAATGCCTTTTACAATTTTTCTTATGAATAAAATAAAATAAAATGAAATGGGTGAACAAAAAGAACGAAAAAGAGGAGTAAAATTATTGTTATATAGAAAATATAATTGAAGACAATAAAAGGAGAAATGAGAAGGATGGAGAAAATGAAAAGTTTTTGTTCATAACTTTTTATAATCTATGATAATCGAAAATCAAGCTATTTAAACAAAACTAAGAAATCATTATAGAAATATAAAGATTTGCCTCAAAACCATACATTCCTGTAAAAAAAAGAAGTGAAACTGAGATGACTTAACTTAGAAATCCTGAAAAAAACAAACAGACAAATAAATGGTGCCACACAACTGATACCCATCAACATATAAACTAAAAAGTATTTAAGTATGTATTTCCCACCCGTCTAGCTAAAAAAGGATGTAGACATTACCAAGACAGTAAAAAACAACAATAACATATCTGATATCAGCAGCTTCTCACCTTTGTTAAACAAATGATATCTATGTGATTACAAATATTTGATGTGAGAAGGCTAGAACTTACTCATGAAAACATATCACATAATCTTCGACTTTTTCACTTGACCTTAGGCCATTATGAAGTGATAACGTCATCGCAAGTGAAAAATAAAAGTAATGTTCAACCTCCCTAGCACTAATGGAACTTGGAATCGTCCAATTGCTTTTCGATGGCTTATGACCGGAGCGGAAGGAAAAGTACTCCCGGTTCGTAGAGCACTTGCACTTGTCACAATCACTGGAGAAATTCAAGCTTTGTACACCATGAAGAATTTGCTTGAGAGGCGGATGTTATTGAATTCTCTGACTGTGAATATCGAGTGAGAAAAAATTAACTTTCTGGAAAGTTAGCCAGGATTAATCAAGGTATTTATATCCAATTTGTCAGTTGAAGTTTAATCGTAGAAATATAACGGGTTTGATTATTGAGCAACAAGAATATTTCCATCATATTTTACATTCACTAACAACACTTGGCAGTTAAAAACCACAAGGAAATCCAAATTACACATGGTCAAAGAATAAGGTACGACACAGATTTTTACATCTGTACATTAAAAAAAAACAAATCTACATAGTGTAAGGTTGTAAATACGGGGTAAGGAGCCTAATGAGCTAAAAGTTAAGGTGTATAGATATTTATTTGTTCTATCTTACACATGATGCCTTTTGGTCGTTTTAAGTATTCTTCATATACTTTAAGGGATCCACGTCGTTTCATTTCACCTGTCTTTCAGTAAGTTTCACGTGTTTGAACCTATTCAGAGCTATAAGAGGTGAGGCTAACTTTCAAAAAGCTTTTTTTTTCTTCTGAAAGTGGGCAGAATTCTGAAACTAAACGTTTTTCAGAAGTATTAATATATAATATGTATTTTCGTTAAAAGATGCTCACTACCTTTCACTTTTATTATGCGACTAATCAACTCATACGTTTTTAAAGTAAAAAGTGAATTTTTATTCATTAAACACTTCGACTTGTGCCGATATATTTAAACTTGTATAGAAATTACTTATTGGTTCTAATCTTTCTTAAAAAGCAAGAAATACAAAACCATATCAACGATAATATTTCGTAACAATTGTTTAGTTATTTTTGAGTTTGAAGACAAAACCCAAATTTCATATACTTTTCAAAATTATAAAATGAGTTATAACTCAATTAATGGAAAATCAAATAAATGAGATCCAATGAATGTAACGCAATAGTTCATAAACTAAAAACTTCAATCACGTTCACAAGATAGAGCAGTGTAGACACCTCATTTATAAATTATTATTTAAGTTACTTTTAGATATAGATAGGAAGGTCAGTGTTTTAATTTACAGTTTTACATGGTGACTGATATGTTTACATACAGATGAAACTGGTATGTTGATTTACATAGTTACAAAAAAGCATCCACGTTGACATAAAAACGAGGCTCTTATGTTTCTTTACAGTTGTATAACTACACCAAAAATGAATTTCAGTTTTGAAATATAAACCAGATTTTTTATTCGTTTATATGCAATAAATACAAGTTGGTCATTAATTTACAAATTATAAATATATGTTAAAGTAAATAAATAAATAAATAATAATAGTGTAGTATTATCTGTTCGTAGACAATGTAGCTTTTGAAAGTCAGAACATTTAAGATATTTACTTTAAATTTTCTAGTGTGTAACATCATACGTGAATTACTTCACTCCAGAAACTGGTTAAAAGATGTAGTTATATGTTTATAACCCTTTAAATGGCACTGTTTAACTACTATGCGACTTTTTATTTTCAGTAACATTTGAACAGTCTTTCCTAGAAATAAACTAATAGGTGGATTATTGTCATTTAGTACATGATTGATAACTTTAAGGATTTTTAACTTTCTACTCATAAGAAGAACAATCATGAATAGTACCAAAGTTTGCTGGAATGTGTTCAAAGCACCTTAATACCAAAGTTTGCTGGAATATGTTCAAAGCACCTTAATACCAAAGTTTGCTGGAATGTGTTCAAAACGCCTTAGTACCAAAGTTTGCTGGAATCTGTTCAAAGCGTCTTAGTACCAAAGTTTGCCGGAATGTGTTCAAAACGCCCTTAATACCAAAGTTTGCTGGAATGTGTTCAAAGCGCCTTATACCAAAGTTTGCTGGAATGTGTTCAAAGCGCCTTAGTACCAAAGTTTGCTAGAATGTGTTCAAAGCACCTTAATACCAAAGTTTGCTGGAATGTGTTCAAAGCGCCTTATTACCAAAGTTTGCTGGAATGTATTCA